GTTTTTCCGCAGAGAAAATATACAAAACAGCTGACATTAACTTGTTCTTAGACAATGATTTTGTAACTTATTAATTCCTCCTTCCCTGGCATCTAACAGGAGACCAGTGGAAAAGATGGCTTATCACTGAGTCAAAAACCTGTGGCCCCTTCATGGGAGACTGACTCAACAGCTTTAAGATAGTATCCTGCTAAGGAAATAAAATTATTTTAGACTGAGAGTGTAAATATTCACACAGACTCAGATATTTCCCTGGTTAGAATATGATGTGCCAATGACAATGAACTGAAAATAAAGCAATAGGTTAATTCAGTTACCTAGAATTTCATAGTAAAAATACCTAACGGGTAATGAAAGACAGATAAGGAGTTAATAAATTTACTCTTTTGTTATCTATGTATCTAGGATGGAGAGTGCCTGTTTCATGAATGTTCTCCTTCTAGTTTCCAAATCTGCTACTCCAGCAATGCCAGATTTTCTGCTGAGTTCCAAAATACTTAGTCTAAAACAAGCCATGTGCTACAAAACCATGTCAAATATTAGAGAGAAATATAGGGAAGAGCTAATATGGATTCCAAATTCAGAAGTCCATGTTTATATCTCAGAAAGATGGATATGTATCCCCCAGTATAACACAAATACCATGCTGTTTTGTCCCTGAATTCCCCAGTCAGAGAGAAATCCAGTTCTCACAACCAACGTACATGAAAGACATCAGTAGGAAGAAAAAAAACCAACCAGTTCTCTCTTGTAGGTAGAATTCAAAAACAGAAATAAAGGACAACATGCAGATAAAACAAGGGCTGAAAGATGGTTCTCCCCTTCACTGTCCACTATGAACAAATATAACAAAGTATTTGCCCTGTAAATAAGCATACTAACCAAATAATCACATAAGAGTAGTAACAAATCACCAAAAATCACGAAGCTAGTGGATATAGCCATCACAATCCTGATCAATCATCAAGACACATCTCCTTTCCTCAAGGTACAACAAACCTACATTTGATTTTAAAAAGATTTGTGGTGACTGCTGATTTAGTATAGAAAATGACAAAAATTACCCCCAAGTATCTCTCACTGTTTTTTACCCAGACCTCTGTTCTAATCTCTGCACATAACTTACAGAATAAAAGGAAACGGTCTTTCGGTACCTCAGGGAAATTCAGCCTGTCAGTAATAATTCACGAACACTTTCTTGTCAATAATACTTAATGCGTACCTCAGGGAAATTCAGCCTGTCAGTAACAATTCACGAACACTTTCTCGTCAATAATACTTAATGGAAGAAGCATCATAATGCAACAGTGATTATGCTCATTTGGATTACTGCTGTCTGAAGCACGGTTAGGAAAGTTTTAAAGAAAGCTCTATGGAAAAGCATCAAAATTTCCTCTCAGAAAAATTACAGGTTGTCTATGGTTAGTGTTGGAAAGGACCTTAAAGATCATCTAGTTCCAACCCCCCTGCCATGGGCAGGGACACCCTCCACTAGCCCAGGTTGCTCAAAGCCTCATCCAGCCTGGCCTTGAACACCTCCAGGGATGGGGCATCCACAGCTTCTCTGGGCAACCTGTTCCAGTGCCTCACCACCCCCACAGTGAAAAACTTCTCGAGTGCAGATTAACTGAGAGGAAAAGGGAAAGCATGAGGGGACTGTACCCCACCTATTTTTATCACTCATTACTGTATACTTCCAACATGACTGCAGGGCTGTTCCTAAGTGCCATGTTCCTGTTCATGTTATGGATACTTCAACCCCTAAACGATACTGAAAAAAAAGGCATTTGATCTTGCAAAATGCTGGCAGATGATCAAATGAAAAGTTACAATAAAAAGAGAGAAAAGAACAGATACTGGAGAAGACTATGAATGGTATTGACTACTAAGTGGAAACAAACCTTGCTATTAAGTGACTCTTTTGAGAGACCCATCAGCACTAGAAACAGGATGACTCAAAACTACTTTCTCATGTGAGTTGCAAAGATTCATTGATAATTCTTTGATGAATGATCCTGAATTCTGAACACTTCCATCAGCATTGCAAAATATCAATCTGAACCTCTAAATCCCTTAATCAAACTCAGATTTAAGACCCTTAATGCAATCATAGATTTCTGAATTCCTGAATGCAATCTTGCTTTTCTGTTTTGTTTTAAAGAAACTTTTGCTCCTTTTCAAGTTACACATAGACAGTTTGGTAAAAACTTGAATATATCCCATTTCAAGCCAACAACATCAGTATTTTCTTGGTTACAATTGTACACTTTGGCCTTTCTGATATACATCAGACAACTTGTAAATGTCTAAAGGTTTGCAAGATTATGAACAATGCCAACAGAAAAAAGACCCATATGTCACATCTACAAAATCTTGCAAATGCATTTGAGAAATGTTTTGGATGGTTATTCTTAAATAACACAGCCCAAATCTCAAAACTTTAAAACTGAGTGATCAGCAGAATAATCACAATTATAATTATGTTTTCCAATGATAACAGGCCTTTTTGTACTACAGCTACAGCTTTCAGTTCCAGCATCATTAAGACATTCTTCAAATTACTTTTTAAATATCCTTTTCCCTCAGGATTTTCACTTATACCTAATTAGACTACTTACCCCATGCCATGTAATTCCCCATTGCCAAAACTGCTAAATGCTTCAATAAGAAGGAGGAGGGCACCAGAGGAGCAAGGCAGATGTAATGTCATTGGTTAACAATAGAGGTGTGAAGCAACTGCCGTAATTATAAAACTCATTAATTCACAGTGTTTAGGGGAAAAAAAAATCCTTGGCAATAACTCTGCTGAAATGGCAATTCTTTTCAACACTACATCAGACTGAAAAAAAATCTTTCAATCTACACCTTCAACAAGACAGAATAGTAATTCCAATAGTAATTATGAAAATCAGCATCTGCATAAAAAGTAAGGAAAAACTGTCAGCTATAATGGCATCCAGCATTTATACATCCTTTTCATCTTTCAAATTGACACATGGCACATTTTGACCCCTAATCGCTTTTATTTTTAGTCTCATTCTTCTTAAGACTGTAAATGGACAACTTCCAAGACTATATTTCCGGAAAAAAAAAAAAAAAGAGAGAATTTGAAAGAATTTAAACAAGATTAATCAATTTTAAATTTTACAGTCTCTGCCCAACAGTAGGGTCCTAGGTTTCATCTACAACAGGAATATTTGCCATTTACCTTTGCACTTCATGGATGCAAGCTGTTTAAATAGATGAGGAGCCCTGACATAAGACAGACAGCGCTAGGTTCTGCTTCCATGCTTCCATCATTCATCTTCCATATGCTGCTTGCTAGCTTAGGCAGTGTCATGAAATGTCCCCCATCTCTGCTAATCCTACTCTCAAACTTTCCCTGTCCCAATTTGTCTGAAAAAAATTCTGAAGCTTCTAGGTGGAGAAAATATTTGACAGAGAGAAGAGATTTTAAAGAGACAGCAGCTGGAGTACAGCTCTCACCTTGAATACTCAACATTATATTATTTAACTTCTGTTCACTAGTGGCTATTTCTTTTTAAAATTTCAGTTATTTTTATATACAGTATATATAGGAATTGTGGTTGATTACCATTTTGAATTCAGCTGAATACACTGAATTTCATTTCATATAATTTGCAATGTCTTCTGACAACAGAACAACAGATATTGCAGGGTCAGTGATAGCAATTCCCCTATTTAGGCTGTCTAACACTTTCCATTATAAAAGATTACTGTGGCCTTTATTTCTGAGCTGTAACACTCCGAATGTTTGCAGCAGGTGATTTAAATTTATCAGAAAGAAAGTCTCTGTACTAGTAAAGTGTCTTTCTAGTGTCATAAAATGCTGATCAGGTTTTGTTGAGATGCAAACTGTTGAATAGCACTATATTTTTCTTGTATTTCTCTTCAGAGAAATTTTGGCAGCATGTCAAAACAATAATGAATATAAAAGTAATGTATACAAATACTTACAAGATGGGACTCTAGATTTTGAAGTTAACATTTGGAAATCAGAATATTAAAGACATTGGGCCACTTGTATAGTGTATATAAGAGACTATAATAATAAGTAGGCAGAAATAAGTTTTCCTGGATAACATTCAAGCACTTCTTGTTTTCAAATATGTGTGTACAGGTGGAGTTATTTTGAAAAAGAAGATTTTGTAGATAAAATTACTTAAGTACGTAAAAAGGAAAATGTACTAAAACCTGATTCTTTTATGATGAGAATGTAATACTATCATGCTGCATTGTACACAGTGTCTCCAGACTTGTACCCTAAAATCTTTGGCCTTGCATTGCACTTCTCTACTAAACAGTCACCAGACCAACTGTATGAGCTGGCACTACTGCAGGTTATGACCTCAGGGTTCGTGAGGTGGCTGAGAGAAGGAAAAGAAGGCATTTTAGGAAACAGGTCTTCCCCATATGTCTCCCCTACTTCTTAAAGCTGCTGTAACTTCCAGATTGTCCCAGTGCAAAGTGATGGTTCTTGTACAGATTTAGGATGTTGATATGCAGTTATTATTCCAGCATTTTAGTATTATACCTAACTTACTTAGAAAAAGACAAATATCAGTTTTGCATAGATCCTGAACATTATAAAGGGACATAAGAAGAGAAAGAGGTGCTTACAGTAATTTTGATGTAGTGATTAGATGAAACACTTGAAACATCAAAAATGATTCAGGTATACTACTCAAAACAACAACAAATTAAATTACAGATCAGGGAAGAAAGGCTTTTCTTAATTTCGGGATGTTTTTTCATACACAGGTGTCTCTAAAAGTCACAAGTTACATACGTTTAAGTTGTGATTAGATGAAACACTTGAAACATCAAAAATGATTCAGGCATACTACTCAAAACAACAACAAATTAAATTACAGATCAGGGAAGAAAGGCTTTTCTTAATTTTGGGATGTTTTTTCATACACGTGTCTCTAAAAGTCACAAGTTACATATGTTTAAGTTAAGAAAACACCAGCACTTACTGTCAGAATGAAAAGCAATTCTTCAACGTTGCTTTCAGGTTTCAACTGATCTTTGAACATCCCAATAGTTGGATGCTTCAAATAGTAATAGGAAGCAATGCGGCCATATGTCAGAGGTTCAATGCTGCGATTATCCTGTTAGAAGAGGAATAAAATATACACGGTTCCTGCATGGTTCAATATAAACGGTTCCTACAAAACTGTAAAATACTTTTAAGACTACTTTATAAGAGAGAACAGCAAAAATGATCTAGCATCATAATTTAGCTGCAACCCCAATTAAGCTCAGTTTTCAATGTAAGTCTCGCAAACAGCTCCATAGACAAACTCTAATATCTCAAAGCTGGAGCATGTTACATATCTTGCTGTTCTCAACTTTTAGGAGGAGGTATCTTACTGAATCTTGTAAGGCACAGATTAGTCTTACCTCCCCAATTTCAATACAGTAGGAGCATTCCAAATCAAAGAGGGATTTCTCAACAAGGCTTGAGAGGTACTTATTCATACTGTCATGGCTCACGTCGTCCAAGTTATAGTAACTAGATGAATGGAAAACAGATGCATTTCATGAATGCTTTTTACACTCTGAAGATTTTTAACAATAATGTCTTGTAGGAAAGCTTACAACACTGCTATAATACTCACACATACTTGGAACAGCAAATATCCACATTAAACAATTAAACATAGAACTATTCCCTTATATAGTCTAACAAGAAATTCATGATTCTTAAATGGTTTGTGGGAGTAACCAAAATAATACAAGCATGTACATATGGAAAGATGGTAATTTATCTCTCTATTAATAGAAAGGTTGATAGAAACAGAACTGGACTGCCTATATTTTGTTAGTGGGAACATTTTCCTGATTGCAGAAGTATATTTTCCTGATTACGTATCAAAGTGAACAAGCAATTCTAACGCAAGTAACTATTTTAACTTTAAGAGAAAGGAAAGAAACCCACCAAACATCCTGAAACTCTGAAAATAAAAACTAGGCATGTAGTGACATCTCTTGAAAAAGTAACCTTACACCAATCCAAATATTGGTGCTTGTTGTTATATTTCTGTGCCATTTTATTTTCAAGGCAAACTGCTAAAAAAAAGGAATAGGGTATTTGTGAGTGTGGTTACTACACATGTTCATTTTCAGGTAAAATTGTTTAGGCAAACTATATACAGTAACAATGGTTCCTAGTTATCTGTATGAAGGAAAAATGTTTATAAAGTGTGCCGAAACACATTGCTATGCTAGCACATAAAAAAGACTCAGTGACTGAAGTTTGCACACCTTAACTGTAGAACTTAAGCTGTATTGCAAGATTCCTATACAAAATAACATAATTTCAGGGAGAGCTTTTACGTAGAAGACCCCAGATAAAAATGTAGTAAGAACTTTTGTCCTGGATTCAATGAAGGCGCTGATTCAGAAGGCAACAATTCAGTTCAATAAGCAGTAAAGAAAAACTGAGTATGCTTAGAAAGTTTAAAAATTCTGAATACAAGCAGAGCAATTAATTCATGCCATTTCAATGTGGAAATCAAACAAACAAAAAAATTTGATGGTTTACTGAAATGTTTAAAAGCACAGTAAAAAATGTTGTCCCTGCTCATTTAATTCTTTAAAATACTGTCACACAAAAAGACTATTGAGATTGCTGTCACGATGAAAGATGCTTCTTTGTTCATACTATCTGCTTTACGAAAATTTCCTACTGTTAACGATGTACTCAGCATCCCCACAGGAAACAATACCACATGCTGTAAGGAAAGTAGGTTCTTTCAGCGTTATTTTGTGCAGGTGAACAATAGACTGCAAAACAATGTGTTGAGATTAATTTTATCTCATTTTACATAGTTACAGCTACACCTGAGTTAGTCTTTTTAATTCCCTTTACTGCCAATGGAGAGAAATGTGTGCTTGCAGAATGCTATTCATCCAAAGTATTTTACATCTCTGCTATAGGATGAGGTGAAATGTAATCACTGACTAAAAAACAGAACTTTAGGCAATCATCTCTGTTATTGATACTATATTTGGGCAGACGAATCCCATTCTCTGATTTAAGCTCTATTTGTTTTACTGTAATGTTGCTGTTAACAAATTTCAAAAGATGGAATTGCTTTTTTATATACTACAAGCATCCTTCCATGACTGTTTTATTAGGAGAATCTGATTTGCATTATTATTTTCTTAAACAGAGTTTTTAAATATTTATCTTTTTGAATAGCAATAGCATAAATGAAAAAAGCCTGCATGCTGAATAGCAGTACAGTCATTTCCAGATTTTTTCCCCTTGTTATTAATCCCAAATTATGGGGTTATTCTCTGATGCTTTGAATGTTCACTTATAATTGGGTAAAGATAGAGTAAAACACTACTGCTCTAAGACAAAGATTTAAAAAAATCTGTTCTGATACCAGGAAACAGTCATTTACATTAGACAACAACAAAGTGTATATATATGGCAGTGGAGTATTCAACTCTGTGACATTTTATATGGGTTCATGTTGAGATATCTCAAATATTTAAAACATAGCTATTGTCCAAAAGAAAACAAGCCAAATAAATATTTATATTGATTTAAAAGTTTTATATGGTAGACAGTCTTATGCAAAGAAAACTTATTTGTAACAAAAGTGCTCTAATATTGTTTTCAGTGCAACATAATTTTCATGAGAGTTCCCTGTTAAATTTACTGAAGTAACATAGTAATGATAAAAAACAGTCAATATTTCCATCTGCACCTTTTATCTGCCTGACATCTTATCACTGAATACATCTAGATTCTGCTTATTAGCATAAATTACTTTATAACATTTTGTTTACCTTCTGAAAATAACCGAGCAAATTAACTACATAAGTTGTTTAAGGATGTAAAAAGAGTTTTCTATTTTATACATCTAAACCACTAATGATTCATTAGTATTTTTCACTAAATTGAAGATAACACTACTGAAATGATTATAATTAAGGCACTTTGTTGTCACAGTATTCACTTTCACCATGTCATTTCAGCTCTGTTCTTTGCAGTACTACAACACCGATGATGAATACTGATAAAACAAAGGAAGAGATATGGGCAATACATTGAAATTAGCTTTTGAGACTGTAATTTAAGACACTAATTCAAACAGATTTTATCCTGTGCCCTGCCTAATTAGCAGTATTTCACTCTAAAGTTGTAATCATAAAAGGCATTATAATGCCTTTGAAAAATTATGTGAATTTTACATTTGCTGATTATTATTATTTTTTTTTTTTTGTCAGAGGAACAAATATCTAGCGGCCTTGTGCAAATAAAACAACGTAAAGAAAAATCTTAAATGGTTTGTAATCTTCAGTGAAGTACCAGTGTGTTTTAACTACTATCTATAATGGGGTAAATATAATTTTGAGCACACCCACAGGAGCTTCTTGGTCACTCAGCACATTTTCCCCTAGTAAAAAGCAAAGCCATTCATCTAGAAAGCCTATGTTAAAATCATTAGCAAAAACAGAGGTATCATGACATTAGACAGTACATTGAATGCGCAGGCATAAATGCAAGTTGAATTTTGCATGTTGGTATGCTCCAAGTATAAAAACTGCATCGTATGTGAGTTCCTCTATGAAGCTATATTACCTAACTATTTAATTACAGATAAAGAATAAAAACAATGCAGTTTCATGCTCACTGCATTGAATCATCTAGTCATTATTTTCCCTTTGCTATAAACAGACAGCCTACCTTTTTATCAGCACACCATTTCATTTATTTCACAGTGAAGCCCAGTTTCACAATAATTGACTTGTCAGAAGCTCTAATTTATGAGGCTGGGCTCTGTAAGCCTTCTCCTATATTGGACTCAACCTGCACACAAGCAGGGTTGAATATTTACAATGCTGTTAACAGGTGCTGAGTTGTTTAATGATTCTAATAGCCAGAAGCGTACTGAGAAAGCCAGCGGGATCACAATTACAGGCTGTTTGAACACAACAATTACTCGTCCCCTGAGAGGTGTGAAAGTCAAAGGCAGTTTTATCCTAACAGCATCTAGCACATGGGCTAGACAGGCTAACTTCCATTAGTAGTCCATTGGGAAAAAGCAATAACAAACCCCTAGGTATCATAAAAATTTACAAAGTATGTAAAATTTAAACAATCAAAAACTGAAGGAACTTTTAATTGTCTTTTAAAGAATATATTTTAAATTCCAAACCTTGTAGAGCTTAGCAAGAACAACAAACCGTGAAACATAAACTTATTTCTCTAATCTAAGGAAGTGTGGAATTTCATCAGCCAAGAAAGACAGAGAGACGTGCAGGAACATAAAATGTAGATGAAGTTACACAAAACATTTAGGATTTAACGTGAATGGTGGCAATCATTTCCTGTTTAGCTTATGTAAACCTGACGTGAGATCTCTCTGGGAAATTTTTTATCAGCCTTGAAATGGTCCTGCTATAACTGTCAATGCTGTGAAGTCATTTGTTACAGGACCATGTTTTTTATGTTCAGATTATACGGTAGTAATAGTGACACACAGAATGAAAATCGGTGGCAGAGTCAGCCAAAAATATTAGAAGACAAAACTTGCTAGCTGGAGAGCCTTTTGAAACAAATGCACAAAAAAAGATGAATCTACAGCATTCACCTGATAGCAAGAAAGTGTGCTTTCTGAGATTTTACAGTCCTGAAAGCAGAATTTTGTTATGAACAAGTATGGGGGAAGCACAGGTAGCCATTTTTGTAAATCACTTTACTGCAGTCATCAATTAGGTTTATTTTCATCAGCCTGTGGCCTTCAGCAGCTGCCATCTTCAAATGGTACCATGGAAATGGTACCGAGCATACAGCACAATTGATGGACCTTCATAGCCAGAGAGCGATGAACCAATGTACCAACTCACTTCTGTTGTTGGGGCATCACTGACTCTGGAGTCCGTGACTGGCTTGCTAAAATGCATTACAGCATACACAAATGCTGCAGCAGTAATCTCTACCTGTATTTCACTTGTATTGTATGTTGTTGCATTCATATATTTGCTTTTGTCAGGTATAAGAAATAGATACATTGATATTTTTAGTAAGTTTTTAGTATATTGTACATTGTGGTTATTTAAGAAGATCAAAAAAGAGACCAGTTTATTTGACATCAGCAAGGTATTTGCCTCCACATCAGTGCTGCTAATTAAAATATTTCCAAGAAAGTTTACTGCCTAAGATGCATTCATAAGATGAGAAAGCAGAGGCACTTGGCACATGTAAATTTGCTTACATATTAATTGGGCATTTGTTTTTCCTGATATATTCCAACAGATAACTTGTACAAGTAAATCACATCCAACAGTAGTAAGACAATTAGGTGAATTTGCTTTCTGAATGGGGAGATGCCGGGTCTTCAGCTTTGCATTCCCACCTAAGAGGGCAGCAGACAGGGGAACAGGGGGTGGTTTGAATACTCAGCAGCCTGGGGCTTCCCAGTCTGAGAGAATCAGAAAAACTCTATTCATGTGAATAGTTTGGTAAAAGCATAACATGAACTACATACACTGTGACCCTAATGACTTAAAAGAACAAGTTCTTGTTATGAAATTCGTAGCAATGCCTATAGCTATTATTTATGAAGTATATATACATGTGCACAGATCTAAATGTGATTATAAAAGAAAGAATCCGCTCTGAGAAATATCTGTTTACCAACTCAGAAAATGGATATGGGTAATTACTGCAGTGTAACATACCTGCACCTTCTTAGCTTCTGTTCTTAGTAGCTACTGCCAAACTTTTCCCTTTTATCTCTTAATCTCAGTTAAATTTAACTTTCTTCAATGATTCCCCGTTCTGATATGATTCCAAACTAGCCCTAAAATTCTGAATAATGTGATTTTGTCACTGAAATACATATTATTCTATCCTGACTGGCTGATATTAGCTGTCACCTCACTACCAGACACTGTACTGGAACAGTATATAATCATAATTTTTATTCAGATGTTTTGTTCACATGTTATTAGACATGGTCAGCTAATCATACTGAGAAAAGGAAATTTAAAGTAAAATATAAGTGTATGATGATAAGAGCATCAGTCTGAGACAATTTAATTATAATTTATATAATATATACTTGACTGATACCAAGTGAAAAAAACCCCTTAATAATAAATCTCAGAATAAATTAAAAATACAATTATTTCAGGTCTTCACAAGGAATTTATACAGAAATGTGGTTTTATAAGTGTCTATGTATACACACATACAGTATCATATGTATCTATAAATGCATTAAAAACCACACACATTTTAACAGTGATGTGATGTGTGCTCTCAGAATATCTAAAAATTAACTTTCCAAATGAAAGCTGATTCTGCTTAACTTTACACATGTTGTAAATTTCTATTTCTGCACATGTATCTGGATAATATCATATAGTGACTTACAGAAAATGTTTCCCATAGCCATTTCTCTTTTGTAGAAAACTGCAGATTATAATCTTTTATAAGGGTAAAAGAATGGAATAGTCAAGGAATTTCAGCCAAGGAAAGGAGATAGACGAGCCTCTCAAAATAGCCCCTTTCAAAGAACAGGACACTTTACTGATCTGTCTTGTGTGATCTTGACTAAGTAAAGAATTAGAATTGTATGTGGAAAGGAGAACACATTGCAGTACTTGACTGAAGAGGCACAGAAACTTTGACTTAATGTGCAGATTCAAAAACATCTACATTGAGGAATAATTGCTTTGGGGGAAGGAAAGAACAGGGAAGAAACTCTGGATATTGAGACTGATACGCTTTGATAAACAGTTTTATTTGGACCACTCCTCTCCTTTGCACATCATTCTCTTGAACAACAGGCACATGACTAGTCAGTATGCCTCCGAACGAAACTAGCACTCAGTTACTCCACTCCCCCAAATCAACAGCTCAATTACTCCTCTTAACTAGACAGTTAAAACCCATTTCACAGATTTCAAGACACAAGTGCTCCTCAAACAAGAAAATTAAAATGGTTTGATGAAAAGTATTTTAACATGTAAAGGTTTTCAGCATCACCATTAAAAAAGACACTATTAAAAGTCTAACAAGTTATCCCAAGTGTGCTAGAAAAACTTCCATAAAGACTGCATGTTTAGAAGAAACTGGGATACTTAGAGCAAAAGAATACTTTGATCTCTATCTCACAACACATACAGATTAACATTACTTAAATAGTACAAATTACAGGCATTCAGTAAGGCATTTTATCACACTGGATTGGAATAGAATGATCCTATATTTGTTTATGCAGCTTTAATAGACAAGTATCTAAAACTGGCAATAAATTAGAATATAAATCTTCTGCATATTACCTAAGCCCATTATTTTGGGGATTTACAGCATCACATGCAATGACTTTTATGCCAACGATTCCCAAGGCAATTTACCAATCATGCATACGGGAATTACTTATTCACCACTAAGGTACAATCACCTGCTGGCTGGAAAATAGTTCTTGTTTCATAGTGGAGAGAAAGTCAACAAAATTGCTTCAGGGCAGGACATGATAAAGAACACTGTATCAAGTGACACTGAGTAGGTACTGTGTAACTACCCGAACCAAAATTCAGCCATTGTGCTCCTACTCTCATGAAAAAAATAAACCCTAAAGCCTTTGAATTATTAAGGGCCACAAATAGTTCTTTTTTGGTACCATCAATCACTTCATATGCTCATCTATGGCACAGTAAGCTCCATTACTATATTGCAATTCTTCACAATTATCTCAACTGTCACTGACTTCTCTACATGAAACTCAGTTTTCAGTTTTCCTTTGACGTATCTCATTCAAACACTGATCATGCTGGAAACTGCTTGGCTTGTAGGCTTGTACGCGGTCTGAAAATACCACAGATAGTAGGTTCAGGAACTCGACTAACTGCCTAGTTTAGTAACTTTGGATGAAACTCAATATAATTTATTATCATGTCAAAGAATGGAAAACATGCACATCCATTGCATTTGCACTTGGTATCTAGAAGTGCCCTCTTTGACACAGTCAATAATGTCCTTCATTTTTCTCCCTGCATGACCGAGTACAGAAGGAATGCTGAGTACTTCTGTGTGGATGAGACAGGGGATAAAGCAATACAACTCGTACTGCATGTCTTTCCAGTGAAAGACTCCAATTTCATTAGAAACTTCAACATGCATTCCTATCCTGCCATTATGGACATGACTAGTCAAGATCTGTTCATCTTGTTTCTCACTACAGAGACTCTGCATCTCACTATGAAATATAGTGGGTTTTTTACTTTTTTTTCCTCCCCCACAATCCTCTCAGAATAGCAGAACTTTTGCCTAAAAGTTGATATTATAATGACTTTAGATGTAGCTTTCCATGACACGGCACATTAAATAAACTTCTGAGAAAAAAGGACCATCAGTAAACATGCCAACCTCATACTCCAGTGGGAACCTTCTTCTATATTGGGAAGAGCTTGCCTATTAAATCAAACAACTACTTTTCTACATTATACACTTACCTTTTGGCTATATGTTGTGTCTTAAAAATCTACCTACCACAGATACCACGCGATCAAAGCTTGCCAAAGACAAATCAACAAAATCACTTTAACACAGCAATTCAAGAGCAAGACCTTTTAATAATGTCATATGTAAATTCCAAAGTCATACAACTAAACACAACTTTACCCACATCTAACCTAGACAAAACCAGAATTTGGCTGTTTGCCACTCTCAGGGAAGAAATACTTTCTATATAAATATATTCCTTTTGTTAGTTATGGAGCGAGAACTGAATATGTTTTCTTTAGCTTACAGTTCTAACATTCAGAATTTTTTACATCCCAAGAAGATTAGATGGATATTCTGTTTTGTGGGAGGTTCTCAGCATAGGACTGGATGCAGAATGCAAAAATAATGAAGACTAAAAAAGAATTAAAGGAAATTATTTTATCACCTGCAGGCTCCCACCAGCAGTTCCCCATAAAGAACCCAAATGCCCAAAAATTCAGCCAAATGTTAAGGACATTAACATGATCTCAGAAGTTCCTATACAACACTCTGGAGTACATCAAGAAATATTTAGTTTTATAAATGCCTAATTCTTTGTTTGCCACATTATTTTGGTGAATGAATGATCACATGATACGTAACATACCATTTACCCAAAACAATGTTGTGGCAAAGGCAGGCTTCATTGCTGGAACAGCTCAGAATGATCTGCATACCAGCTGGAGCTAGGCAGGATGATAACAATCACTGAAAATATTGCACACATGGTTTCACCAGGATACCCTAATGAAAGTGAACTTTATCACAGAGAAACAGCTGATAGCTATTCTCTCATTTATTAGGAAAATCCAGGTCTTTATACATTTTCTATAGAAAACTGGGCAGAACATATCAATGTTGTAGCTAAAAAAAACCCAACCACATTATAAATACCATACCTAAAGGAATGTGATAATCTGCAGTTTTATTTTAGGGATGCTGATGTAGCCCTCTCAATAAGGCTACTTTATAGTTGTCACTAAACTGTAAAGTTATCTGCCAAGAAATGCATTTATATTTAGAGAAAAAAATTATTAAAAAAATGTGTACACAAGTTTTATTCCACGTGTGGGCCAGTAATGCTCCTGCATTGGAGCCTGCTAAGTATTCTAGGCTCCACCAGCAGTGGTATCACCTTTGGATCAACTCTACCCTCAATTTACCTTTAGATTAAATTGCATTTGTATTTTCTACTCACGTTGGGTTCATTATAAGTCGACGGAAGAAATAAGTCCAAGTGATATAATCCATTGCATCCTGCTTAGACGTAATAGTTCCAGCAGCAATTTCAGCATTCAGGTGGTCAGCCAGCACTTCTAACAAGCTGAAGAACAGGTAACAAGAGGATTTAGCTGACTTTACAATCACAAAGACAGGTAATATGTTTTGTAGAGTTGTGCATTAAAAGGTTTATTACTTTTAATCCTGAAAATATTATATATTTATCTTCCAGTAAAAGAGAAGAGGGGAAGAAGGGGGAACGTAATTGCAAGGTCAGTCATCTTCTTTACATGATAGGGGAATGAAGCTCAAATTATTTTTTCATTGGACCAAGAATGCACAAGTTTAAGTCATTCATGGAATGTATTCAGATGGAGCTACTCAGTGGTAACTTCTGAATAATGTATGTTGACCACATGAACATGCTGGTTTAATCCAATAGAGAATCATATGGAAAGACAAACAGGAAATGAAACAGTGGCAATAGCTTAGCTAATACTTGACAAATACTTGAGGGCTATTAAAATGACATCAAAACTGCTTCCCCCAGATTTTGCCTCATCTTCATCCAATGTAAAAAGAAAAAAAAAAAAAAAGCTTGTACTTTTACCCAGAAAGATCTAAATTCAGAAGAACAGAGGAACAAATGCAGTTAAAAATTATCCTTACAAAGTAAAATACTGTTTACTGTCATTAAATGGAACAAAGACCTCCATTAGGGCATCCAATGAGATCATGCCTGGCTAGAGTTCAATCAGGGAATGGCAAATATTCTTAAGGATCAACCTAGTTTTTCTTGTATTATAATAGTTTTTCTTATCTTACTGTTCTTTTCCTATTGCTAAAAGTAAAGAATAATTTGGTATGAGTAGCTGTTCTACTGCTTTATACCACTGATCACATGCTTCTGAAGGTTAAGAACTACAGATGTTCTACCCAGATTGGCCAACAGAAACTGGACAGATGATTCAATAGCTATTCCATAATAAAGAGTGCTTTCTCTTTTGCTTCTAATGTGCTGTATTTCAGACTCATGATCAGTGAGAGCATAAGGCCTGCCATAGGAGTTATGTACTCAAGTCTTACAATTAATACATAGACAATGGTTTTCAGAAAAAAACTTTAATCAAAAAAATATAAGTTTAATTCTACAAATTGGAAATACTACACCAAGTTGATAAACCTGCTCTTTGGTAGAACAGATATGGAAGCATGCTAAAACTAAAAAACCTCCAAAAACCCCCAAACAGTTTATCTTTGAAGCTATGAAGCCTCTTCAAATACTTGATCATAAAAGAGACCAAGGCAACTCTAAGTTAATTGGATCACAACCCACATTGAACGTCACGAGATTGCTATCAGTATGTGAATCTTAATGTGAAAATTTATCAAACATTTGTTTATAGTAAAAGATGGACTATCTCAAACTACAAAGCAAATATATACACACAAAATGAGCTACTAGAAACACAGAATATTTATAGCATTCCAAACAGGAACAAGGTGCGATTACTACTGTTATACTGAAGACACGATTTCTTTATTTAGAAACACCACCTACCAACGAATAGAAAGATTTCCTAGTTTATGCTAGTGCCATACAGTCTGGATGTATCATCAACATTTTAACAGACTGTTCTTTTGACTTATTACCTATCATTTTGGAGGGGTTCAAGTCCTAGCCTTTTGTGCTAAGTGCAATTAAATGTTAAAAAAAGAAAAGTGCGGTTTCCTAAGGAAATGAAACGCATGTCTCCACATTCTTTGTTTGCAAAAATTGTATGTCTGTCTGTGCACCACAGAAATTAACCTTCAAATACACCAGCCCATTTCAACTACATTTCACAGGTGGATAGTACTCTCAAGCTCCTACAAATTTCCTGACCAGACAGAGGTCCCATTAATGCTTATGTTGAGGGATGAAGTTTCCTTAGGAGAACGATACCGTGAATTCTTCATCACTGAGAAAAGCTTTCAATAATGCTCATGCTTTATTAGATGTCTGAGAATCCCTCCATGAAACATGCACCTACAGGAGAGCGATGTAACTAGTTCTGCTTCTCAGGGAACCACTCAGTACATCATAAATACCAAAACCAAGGCATGAGTTACATTATGCTGGACAGCAAACTTTGTACCAGTGAAGTTCAGAGAGACTGCAAAAAGGTTGTGTTTCCACATTTCTGACAAAAATATTGCAATTTTGAAGTGAAAGATGTGTTAAAAGTGTATTAGTAACAGTATACGTAATTGTATATGTAATATAACATACATAGTAATACACCATGCAGATTTTTTTGAGTTTGTGAGATTACGAAGAATGTGGTATCTATAATGGTACAAGTATTCTAGGTAAAAAATGCTAGAAACTGACCTACTTTTTTTTCTTATTAGGAATTTGTCACGGAATTTCAGAGAGGGTTCTGAGGACCAGTTGTACTGCACGCTGGTCTTGAAGAACAGTTTGTGTTCTCATTCAAATCACAGAATCACAGAATGTTAGAGATTGGAAGGGACCTCGAAAGATCATCTGGTCCAATCCCCCTGCTGGAGCAGGAACACCTAGATCAGATCACACAGGAATGTATCCAGGCGGGCTTTGAATGTCTCCAGAGAAGGAGACTCCACAACCTCTCTGGGCAGCCTGTTCCAGTGCTCTGTCACCCTCACCGTGAAGAAGTTTTTTCTCATATTCAAGTGGAACCTCCTATGTTCCAGCTTGAACCCATTGCCCCTTGTCCTATCACTGGATGTCACAGAGAAGAGCCTGGCTCCATCCTCCTGACACTCACCCTTCACGTATTTATAAACATTAATTAGGTCACCCCTCAGTCTCCTCTTTTCCAGGCTAAAGAGACCCAGCTCCCTCAGCCTTTCCTCATAAGGGAGATGCTCCATTCCCTTCATCATCTTTGTGGCTCTGCGCTGGACTCTCTCTGAGACAACACTCAGAAGCAGAGAAGCATTTGTACTGCTATCTGGGAGTGGACTAAATAGCTCAACAGTGCTTCAAAACTCATGGAGGAAAGGATTTTTCTACATAAACATGGATTTTTTTTTTGAAAATTATTTTCCTCTAGGACACCAATATTTAGGAGATATTCAGCACAGGAATTTTGTTTCACTTTTCTCTATCCCTCATTTGTAATATTGTTGATAGTTTGATCAACTTTTCTAATTGCTTTATCTTTACCTTGATTCCACTGGGAAAGGTTCATAAAGGAATTTTTTGTAGAAGTCTTTCTTAATATCATGAACTAGGATTACAGCTTTTCCTTGGTCATCAAACTGTGGTCTGCCAGCACGTCCCATCATCTGAAGTACATCTGCCAAAGAGACAATAATGCATAAAACAAATTTATTCATTTAAATGTATAAATAAATGTATTTACGTCTGTACAATGTGCAATACAGGATTTTTGGATTTCTTTGGATTTAGTATGCCCTATTGGTTTTGACACATCTAATTTTTTTTTTCCATTTCAGATAAATTTACGATTAATTTCTTTCTGGCAGAGACTATCTTCCTGCATACTTGAAGACCACCCACTGCAATAGAATTCAAGCTTACATCTAATATAAATTTCCTCCTCTCTCTTTCCAGTCCACATCCACCCCTTGTTTGATCACATGCAATTAAAGAAGACAAGTAAGAGAACTCATGAAGCCTACAATGGCAACTGTCTATTATTTCCCAGTTTTAAAGCATTTGACCTAACAATAAGAAAAGTGCCTTTTATAAGCTTTTCTGCTATATGTAATTTCATAGGTTTTTAATATTTTAGAGGAAAAAAGGTAAAGGCAGATTCTAATTACTGACAACTATGATCTTTACCACTCAAGCTTCAGGACAAGCTATATGAGTTATTAGCACTGGAGTGGAGATGGTTTTGTATCATATGTTGTCCCTGTATCAGATCACCATATACAAATTTAAAAGCAGGTACAGTTAAATCTTACCTCTACTACTCTGCCTACAAATCATTACTTGCAAATACTAGTTAGTGATTTCTATAAACACTGACAATACTAGTTTATACAAAACACACTCGCTACCTGGCCACTAAGACAAGTATGCTTATCACCTATTTGTTTGTGTCTTCTTGTAATCTGAGAAGTGCATCTGCATAGGTTGTTTTGTGTCTTGCTCAACAGAGCTCTGATTCTTTTTTGGTGCCTCCAACTGCTATTTAACTTTGAAGAAACAATGGAAAGCAATTCACAAGTAAGTTTTACAAATTTATTTTAAAACTTTTATTGTTCTGTGTATTCTCTGGGAACTTTATCATATCTGCACAATGTATGTCTTGCAGTACCTGGCATTTTGAAAAGCGATTTCTTTGGCTTCAGAATCAATAAGCTTTTGGCCCCACTGGGCAGTTGGGGAAGGAAAATCCAGAGGGTGTAGAATGGGATACAGCAATGGACAATGATAGGAGAAACAGCCCAATGACAAGAAACAGTTTTTAGCAATGCATTTTCACTTGCAAATGCACAAGCTATATAGACAGACAGGTTTTTTATCAGTTTATTCCTTTCATTAATTTAGGAGTGACATGAAAATGCAAAATGAAACTAGTTTGACAATGATGTTTCTGAATAGGTATGTGCACAGGAAGGTGATGAAACAACTTCTTGCTGTTCTAATGTGGTGAATTAAATTGTGCATAATACCATATAGGAAATGGATTTACCAAAAAGTGTCAGGAAATTATTTTTGCCAATATCCACTATGTAATTATCCAAACCCAATATTTTCTTTACTGACTATATGCTGCTTGGCTGCTTTTAATCACTGGACTAAACTCCTGAATGTTAAATATGATCCAACTGCCTGACTAAATGTCTGGTAACAGAAAAAAGGCCCTCCCCAAAACCTCTGACTTCACTCAAAGAAGCATTTTTACTTATTTTGAAATTACTGAACAGTCCAGAATGATTCATTCGCCCTCAGCTGCTTCCTTGGAGCCAAATGCATTCCTGATATAGATAGGTAACTTCAGCAGGGAGAAACCGAGTTATACCATGATGGAACAGTGAAGACATTACTTGAAGGCAGCATTAAAGACAGCATTGTGAAATTTTGGAAGTATTTCAGAAAGAAACTCATTACATTTTCATTTTATTGCTGCTGCAAAACTGTACTACCTATCCACAGAACTTCCAGATGCATAAATATTCTCTAGAAAGTTAAAAATAAAAATGCTCTAAGCAAACCACACCACATGTTTCTTCATAAAGTAAGGAATCTGCACTTTCTGTGGCAGTGCAGACAACAAAATCCAAATGCTTCCATCACAGATGGTGGT